TTTTTTTTTTCTAGTGTCCCCTTCCATAGCATTTTTCAGAGACGATACAAAGAGGAAAACGGATTGCCATTGATAATCCAACTCAGGGTTAATTCTTAATTTTCATTACATTTGTTATATAGTATGTAGGGATGAACCGATTCAACTTTTTGTCTCCTGGTTCTGTAGTGGTCTGATATCCCAACTCACGGTACTGGTGGTGATGCATGTAGTGATCAAATGCCAATGCTGTCTCTCTTCCCCATATTTAAAATGTGTAAAACTAATACCGCAAAACTCATCGGGATCAATCTTCTATGTGTAAGTTAACATGTTGCAAATTTTACCCTTGCTATTCAATTCAATTCAATTTTATTTATATAGCACCAAATCACAACAGTTATCTCAGAGCGCTTTTCATAAAGAGCAGGTCTAGACCGTACTCTGTGATGTTATTTACAGAAGCCCAACAGTTCCTTTACTTCACTTCCTTTAAGAGGCAGAAACCTCGAGCAGAACCATGGCTCAGGGTGGGCGGCCATCTGCCTCGACCGGTTGGGGGTGAAGGAGAGAGAGGGAGAGAGAGAGAGAGAGAGAGAGAGAGAGAGAGAGAGGGACGCAGCCTAAACAATACACACACAGAGGTACAGACAGTTAAGGTGATGTTGCATTGTGACGTCACAAGTAAAGGAGGTGAAGTGCTGCACTACAAACGAGCTGTTTTCAAGTGGTTCAGAGCGGAGCTTTCTGTGGGAGATGGGAACTCCCTTTGGGCTTTTTCACTTTGCAAACCTGTTACATCCACAAAAAAGATATATAACTCAATAAAGGAGAGGGAAAAGCCAAAAAACAGAATACTCAACAACTGGCAGACGAGCTGTTATTGTAGGTTTGATAGGCCCATTGTCACACCTCTTCCCCACTCCAACACCATCTTCAAACAACCACCTTCCCCCATGACACGCTGCCATTCCCTCTCTGACCCCTCATCTGCATTCAAGATCTGTGAAGAGGACGTGAGCCACCTCCTCCAGAGGCAAAAGTGTGTGCTCTCCCACTGCTCTTCTCCCTCTACACCAACAACTGCACCTCAGGAGACCCGTCTGTCAAACTCCTGAAGTTCGCTGACAACTCAACGGTCATCGGCCTCATCCGGGACAGTGACGAGTCGCCTACAGACGGGAGGTTGATCAGCTGGCTCTCTGGTGCGGTCAGGACAACCAGGAGCTCAACACTGTGGAGATGATTGTGGACTTCAGGAGGAGTCCCCCCACTCTGCCCCCCATCACCATACTCAGCCCTGTGTCTGCTGTGGAATCCTTCAGGTTTCTGGGTTCCACTAAATCCCAGGACCTGAAGTGGGAGCCCAACACTGACACCATCATCAAGAAGGCCCAGCAGAGGAGTACTTCCTGTGTCAGCTCAGGAAGCTCAACCTGCCTAAGGAGCTGCTGATCCACTTCTACACAGCCATCATCCAGTCTGTCCTCTGCACGTCAGAAAAAATTATCAGTGCCAACCTGCCCTCCATTCAGGACTTTTACATTTCCAGAGTCAGGAAACGGGCAGGAAACATCACTGCAGATCCATCTCACCCCGGATACACCAGCTCCTCTCCTCTGGTAGGTGCTACAGAGCTCTGTACGCCAAAACCAACAGACACAGGAACAGTTTCTTCCCACAAGCCATCACTCTGATGAACAGCTGATTTCTGACTCACAGTGTCAGGAACAATTCCTGTGCAATAACCCGTAACTCTGTTCTAATCAGCACCTGTTTACTGGGTAACACTATTATTATTCACCATTCTCTATTTCAGAGCTGTTCATACTGTTATATTGTCATGTTGTATATACTATATACCAATCCACCTACCTCAAGTCAAAACTCCTGTACAAAATACTTTTACTTACTTACTACTATGCTCCATTGCACGGTGTACATGTATATGTGTATGTGTATGTCTACCTGTACACACATCCACCTGTGACATGTACATAACAATGATAATAATAATTACTCCTGCATCCTTTGCACTCTGATCACTGCACTATTTGTCAATATGTCTACATTGTCTTTGTTCATAGTGTGTATATTAGTGTTATCTACACTGTAGCCTGTGTCTGATTTTATTTTATTATTGTGTTATTGTATTTTTGTATGAGTAAGCACATCGTGAGCAATGTACAATCCTGAGTCAAATTCCTCCTATGTGTACACATACCTGGCAATAAAGCCGATTCTTATTCTGATTCTGATTACCAGTCCAGCCCTGGCCTGACCTCACAAATGTGCTTCTAGCAGAAAGGTCAAAACTTCCCATGAACTCTTCCCAGAAGAGGTGAACCTCATATAGCTGTAAATTGTGGGCCAACTTCATATTAAACCCTATGGATTAAGAATGGGATGTGCTTAAGCTTCATGTAAAGGCAGGCATCCCAAACCTTTTGGCAATATAGTGTATGAGCTCCCCTGAAACCATGTTTTTTAAAATGTTTTACTCTCTATTGAGAATATGTTATTTTTGCCATGGATTTCTATTTTTCTGTATCTTCATCATCATGGATAAAGCTGTAAAATTAAGCTATTGATATATCATTAATACATGAGGGTGATTCATCCCCAATTCATTTTAATAAAGATATCAGCATGCATGCTAATCTTGTCACTGTGGAAGCCTGGTGTAATATCATAAACTTCACTCACTTTAACAAACTCTCTTGGTCCCACTCAGTCTGCTCAGTCTGTCACCTCACGTGAGTGAGAGAGAGTTTCTGCCGTTAATGGCCCGCTATAGGTGGCGGGAAAACTGATCTCTTCGCTCATTTTTTGTGGCTCTTAAAGAACCCCCTTTGGCACATTTCGGCCCAACATCCTTTAAAAAGTGAGCGCCGCCAAAAGCCATGGTGTGGTTCGCACACTGACCAAACTTTCAGGGTTACTCATCTTTTTGGAACTTGTTTCAAACTGAGACTTGAATGCAGATACACTAGCTTTTGAGTTAAACTACTTTAACATGTGCTGCCTGTTTTCATGAATCACAGTGAACAAACACTTACACTTCCTCTACTCTCCATCATCTTCGACCCTGGATGAAGAAACAGGGAACATCTTTCCTTCATCACTATTCAGCTATGAATCATGTGAATACATCTTACATGAAAATAAAGTTTGTAGTCGACACACAGTGATTTTCAGCCTCAACTGTGATTTCCTGTCTCTGATCCACAAGCTTCCGTAACTCTCTTTCAGCATTTCTTTCATCAGTCTTTGTTGCCAGATATTGTTTTCCATGTACACATCCTGCACTTTCACTTATGTGTGGTCTCTTAGCAGCTGCTACATTAAATCCCCTCGACCCAACAACAAAGCATCTTCAAAACTGACAATATGTGTGTTTGCATTTGTATATAAAGCTTTAACAGTCTTGCAAAATATGTGACAAATAAACAGTGAAGTATAAGAATACAACATCACAATGTAACAGTAAACCAAAACTCGGAGTAGAAATTCATGTTAAAACTCATTTATCGAAAGGTTTGATCAAAACCGTAGAGGCAAATGTCTAATCATCTCAACAGATAAAAAAACTCTTAAAAAACATTTTCATTAACACAGTAACCAAATACATTTCTAAACAAATAACTCATTGACAAAAAAACCTTTTCATAATACATGATGGGCTGTATCAGACAAGTGAAAAGCCAAGGAGCAGTCAGCACTTCCCCCTTCCCCTCTGCTACTCGATGCTGTTACTTGATATTAGCTTGTCTAGATTGAGCTAACTTTAGCAACAGCAGCAAACTCTGAAAAAAGAGCGCGAGATGAAGCCTAGTTAATATTTATATTCATATTCATTGATTTCTCCAGACAGTATAGCCTACAATGCATTATACCTGTAAAAGCATATTCACACAACATTCACAAACATCATATTGCACATTAAAGAAAAACAGCATTTTCATCACATTTGATGTCAGTATCATCTCGTGTGCTGCCATCCTTAAGTGTAACACGGAGAAGGAGGGAAGTTGATTCCTCACAGAGGTGCATGGCTAAGCTAACAGGCGCTTGAAATCTTTATACAGTCCAAAAGTCAACAGGTAATGATTGATAGAATTAGCTGTTAGCTCCAGAATTCTGCTCTGGAGCTTAACAATGTGGGGGAGTGTCTGGTATAATCTGAGGAAACAATAGGATTTTTTTACAGGATTTATCATTATGCCAGTGTTGTGAATATAATAAAAAGGTTTTTCACTAAACAGGAAACCTGTCTATACAAACAACTCATACTGACTCAGCCTTTCACTATCTACGCCACAGCTTAGAGAAGAAGCCAAATGTGCCTGTTTCACCATATGACTGATTCATTGATGCCATCTTCCTCTTCCTGACGGACGAATTGGAAGACATGTTTACTGAGCTTGATTCCAGACTGACTTCATCTGAGGAAACTGAAGGAGAGAACAAGACACAGATGGGTTTATTTGTTGCTTTATTAACAGACTGACTGTTAATTAGTTAATTAAACAAACTGAGAACTGAATGCAGACGCACACGTTTTTAATTTAGACAACTTTCATGAATAACAGTGAAGACACACTTACACTTGCTCAGACCAGATCTCATCCCTTCACCACGTTCCACTCTGAAGGAAGAAACAGCGACATCTCAGTTAAATAAAACCATGTTCATTGAATCTGAATTTCTCCCACTGAACAGGTGAGGAGAATGAATGCAAGAACACATTATTACAGAAATGAGACATCTTTCTTCTGAACTGTGAGACTGATGAGAAGCTGATATTCCACTTCACAAGCAAAATGCAATGAAAACAAAGAACACTGTACCTGGTGAGCTACACACTGAGACTTCCTATGCATAGTTTAATGTGTGTAAAAAAAATCTAAAAACCCTGTTCAGTCCCTGAGTCACCAATCGAGCTAGGGGTGTAACTACATGTATTTGTACCGGACCGTTTCGGTTCAGGACTTTGGGAACGAGTTTCCACGCAGACATATTAAGCGGCGGACCAAATTTCCGCCTTGAACTTTCAGCGCTACACAAACAGCACACTTTAGCCTCTCGCTAGCTAGCGACTTCAGCTTCATGGCCAGTGGAGAGAAGCCAGAACTTGAAGACCCTCCCTTATTATTAACGTCTTCTGTTACAAAGAGAGAACACTTCAGTTTCCTAGTGAAACAACAATGGACAAAGACAAGTTGGTAAAACGAAAGCAGTGGACCGACATTTCTCAGTTGTGATCTGGTTTGTTTCTGGCAACACGTCAAACTTGCTAACTCACTAATGGTATCACACGAATGAGAACATCACTGCTACAGACTTTAGACTTCAAAAACTTTTTTTTTTTTATCGGACCAGGCCTTCAAGCTGGGATTGATTGATTACACCCTTAGATCGAGTGCTTTATCCACACAAACAAATCAGCAAAATCGATAATGAGTTAACAGAAATACAACATACAACATACATACAATGAAAAAATCATGTTTTTGTTTCACACATGGCACGAACCCCAGTCTCCTGGTTCAAAGTCCGGGTTCTGGCCCTCCTTCCACCCCAACCACCTCCTTACTCAGTCTTTCCTGTTAAATATCATATACCTACCTTTACTGTCAAAAACTAACGCTACAGGGCTTCCCCCACTGCGTTGAACCTATGCTTACAAACTTACACCGATGGGTCTTGACCATGCGTCCTTATGTTATGAGTCGGAGAGTGAGAACGGGTTGTCCTCAGTGTGTCAGTGTAACAAAGCAACAGTGTTTGAGCTCTCATTGTCTGGTCATACCTGAGAGGGTCCGGTCCACAGCGTGGATCCACAAGTGCTGCAGGCAGCATCTTCACTCCTGGGTCTCCAAGGTTACTGTTGCTGAGGTCTCGCTCTCTCACATCCGAGGGGCTTGATGTCGGCTCCAAAGCCAGAGAAGTGCCGCCCTCCACTGTGACTGGACTGCATGACAGCATAGAGACACACACACACACACACGACTGAGTTTTCCATTCAGTGTGTAAATGTTCATCTGTTGTACGTCAGAATTCTGACCTGTCAGTGTCCAGTCCCCTTTTTGGACCCTGTGATTTGTTCACCTTCTTTCTTGACTTTGCTGGAGGCCAGAAAAACACAAATCATTAGATTTTCTCAGACCATCACATTTGTCTGACCTCTTTGTCCCTCACATATAATGTGTTGTACTTTCTTAAAGTCCCCAAGTGTTTTAAGTTTATTTTATATGATATGTCTGCACTATATATATCTGGCACAACAATTTGTTTGTTTTTCATTTCCTGGAAAACAATAAAAATATCTTGATGATGATCCTGCACCTGGGGGAGTGTATAAATGTTGCGTACAATGAAACGACGCTGCCGAAGCTGCTAAAATAAATCTGCGGAGTGTTTCTGTGCGCTGGCCGGACCTTAGTGATATCTGCCTGTGCAAAAACATGACTGAACTGGAAAATATTTTCTTGTATCCTTTTAATGTCCACCGGCTGCTCTGACTTAACTCTGAGTGATTTATGTTTTCTGATGGACAGATAACTTTACTTAGTGCTAAAGTGCTAACTGCTGCTAAGTAGCTGCCATTATCTAGTTAGCTCAGTTGCAGCTAGTGGTCATATTAGACACTGGGGGAGTGTTGGTGTAGGTGTAGGTAAGTTTTCAGCTACTGTAAACAAGTCCATCCCCAGCTTTGTAAATTTAAAGGAAACACATAAATATGCGGAAGCAAATAGCGCTCTGCTTTCCATTTAATGGGAACTTTAAAATCAGACAGATGTCCTGATGGTTACTCCTCTCCACCTCTACACTGTTCTATTCAATTGCATTTCCTAGATGTGTGACATCATGTTTTTTATGTTTGTGCTTCTCTTCCTTTGACTGACCTTTTGGTGCCGAGCTGCTGGGCGACAAACGCTGGACCAGATCATTCCTTTTGATCTTCATTAAAAGGATTTTGGTCACCTCCACAGCTTCAGTAAGAGTGTAGGTCTGCACCATCAGATCCACGGTGTCCCGTTGCTCTGCCTTCTCCAGCTTGCCCTTTGAGATGGCTGTTCGGCCTTCGAGGCTGTCATCCTTCTGCAGATACCACTTGAAGTCCTTGAACTCCTCGCTTTCCAAATCTTTCAGCGTGTTCAAAAGTTCCGCTTCAGTCATCCTGACTCCCTGGTAAAATCGGATTTGTATTAGCATAAATGGATTAAGACTGAGAAACAAAAGACTTTCGTGGACAAACATAAAAGGCAAATACATAAATAGTCAACCAAGAACAGGTGGATAACTGTCATCAGATGGTAGAACAGGATTTCAGTTCTGTTAGAGAATGGATCCAAGGCTGGGAGTTGCACAGCCGCTGTCCAAATGACATTATTGTTGCTTTTAACAACAATTTTAAAGAATAATATTATTGTCTGCGGGAAAAAAGGTTGTCTCGCATTTCTGAGTTCTGGGGTTTTAGCAACCCTGGTTGCCCCAGCCTTTTTGTTTGGAGTTTGCATGTTCTCCCCGTGTCTGCGTGGGTTCTCTCCAGGTGCTCCGGCTTCCTCCCACCGTCCAAAGACATGCGGACTAGGTTAATTAGTGAACCTAAACTGTCCTTAGGTGTGAGTGTCAGTGTGAGTGGTTGTTTGTCTATGTGTAGCCCTGTGATGGACTGGTGACCTGTCCAGGGTGGACCCCGCCTTTCGCCCGATGGCGATAGGATTGGCTCCAGCCCCCCACGACCCTGTACGCAGGATAAGCGGTTGACGATGGATGGATGGATTTTAGATCAAGCTTCTCCTCACAGAAGGGTTTTTTTTACATTTACACTCTGCTTTCTTTTTTATAGTTTGACCAGTGTGGAGTCGCAGTGTCGTGGCATTAAAAATACATATGAGAAAGATAAGGGTTCATATAAACTATATCTAATCATTGTGTTCTATCTATCTATCTATCTGAGGATGCAGTCTGACCGGTCTGAAGGTGTGAAAAGTCAGTTCTAGAGAATCCAGTCAGTCAGGTTATCACATGAATCATCCCAACAGCTGGAATGCAGCTGTTCTGTATATCTATAGTAAAATCAGCATGCAGGTGTTAGTGTTTTGAGGTTTGTTTACTTACGTCAATGAGTAATATTCTCTCTGACTTCAATTAAATAGCTCACTGATGATTGTATGTATACTATCTGACTGTCTAGTAGTAGCACAAATTATAGTACTAGTTATAGTTACTAGTACTGAAATGTGCCTGTCCCAGACAACAGGAAGGACCCCCCATCGTGTTTTTCTCTTTAAAATGTTCTTCTTTCGCCCCCCCATCCCTTCTTCCAGGAATGATAATTGATTGTTGTTTCCTCATAACTTCTCTCCAGAGGTATCTGACAGAAACCAAGTCAGTTCCAGGTAACTCAGATCTATTTACACGCCCATTTACTACAGATAGTAAACAGAACAACAAACAAAATAACACGAGCAGTATAACATTCTTATATTCTATCATTCTATCTATTCTAGCTTTCATTTGTTTTTATTTTAGGTTGACATTGCTGCTCTAACAGCAAAGGCTCTTGGTTTGAGGACTATGAAGCATCAACTAATCACTAAAGGGGCTTCAGTCTGAGCCAGAGGGCAGCAAAGAAATACTAGCAAAGTCTCTGGTCTCCAAACAACGTTTTGTCAAGAAAACACACGTGAAATGACGCGAACCTACACACGAAACAGCTGTTGTTTGTTATTATAAAGACAGCAATTATAAAGACAAAGAATATGGGTGAAAGAATGGATTAGCACATGCAGGTAGCAGGGGTGAGTAAAAAGTGTTTTGCAAAGAAAAGAAAATAATAATAATAATAAAAATGTAACGTCTGGTTACGCTTCCAAAATAAAATGAAAAAAACGAGGTGTAAAGGTGAAAGCGAGTGTCTATAACGTTGATGAGAGGGTGACGAAGGACTATTCTTCTGGGCAAAAGAATTTTTGGAAACAGCAGTCAGGTAAACTTGTGTTCTCTCCTCTCAGAGTCGGATGTCAGCAGATAACAGTAAGTTAATGTGTTCGCTGCACTGAATCTGTCTGTCTGTCCTGTTAACCCAGCTGGGAAGTGCATCTTGCTCTGTCTGTGGTTGCTTGCCAGACTTTGTGTCTGAACAATGTTAGAGTGAAAAACAATTTTTTATTACATTTGATACCCGCTGACTGGCCACAGAGTTTATTAACTGCACCTCAGAAAATATAACTGTGGCGGACGTGAACTTGCGTTAACATGCATGAAATTAAACCCGTGCATTCCAGCAGCAACAAAAGTGGGACCAGTCCAGACAAGACACAGGTGTGATCGCACTCCTCATAGCAACCCATTATTTTAAAACAAGACAGTGATCATCTGACTCTCAGACAAGTTTGGGTGTCCTGATTGATGACCAGCTGTCCTTTTCAGACCATGTTGCTGCTGTCTCTCAGTCATGCCGCTTTGCTCTATACAACATCAGGAAAATCAGGCTCTACCTCACTCAGTACGCCACCCAGCTTCTGGTACAGGCCGTGGTTATCTCTCGCCTCGACTATTGCAATGCCCTCCTAGCAGCTCTCCCAGCTTGTGCGGTGAAACCTTTACAAATGTTTCAGAATGTTTTTGATCAGCCCAAAAGGACTCATGTCCCTCCATTACTCAGTGACCTCCACTGGCTCCCCGTGGCCTCCAGAATCAAATTCAAGTCACTAATGCTGCATACAGAGTGACTACTGGGTCTGTGCCCATCTACCTAAACTCCATAATACAAACGTACGTTCCTTCTGGGCCACTACGCTCCTCCAACGAACGCCGCCTGGCTCTGCCATCCCTTCACACAAAGCAATCCCAGTCCCTGTTCTCATCTGTGACACCACAATGGTGGAACGAGCTACCACACGCCATCAGAGCAGGGGCGTCCCTCTCTAACTTCAAGAAGCTCTTGAAAACTCATCTCTTCCAGAGAACACTTCCTCTTATAACACCTCTAACTCCTCTAACATGCACTTCCTGTGCTCTTCTTCTTCTATCCCCTACAATGATCTTGTATTGATTGCACTTTCTGTTAACTCTTACTTCCTTCCCTCGGTATCTACCCCATTGATATGATATGAACTTTGAGCTCTTACTAGTATGTTTTGTCAGTTGTAGATCTGTAGTTGATGCTCTGTTGATGCTTGTATGTTGTTTCTCAAATGTAAGTCGCTTTGGATAAAAGCGTCTGCCAGATGAGTAAATGTGAATGTAAATGTCTACAACACAAATTAATGTATTTATTTTCCACACTTTGCTCTGATCAGATACAACTCTGTACTAATGCAAGATGGAAAGCTGTGGATTCACATTGACTATTGATTATTAAAATGTTGATTAGCAGGTCAGACAACAGATGCACATCTCTCAGTAAATAATAAACATCACATATCCAGTCAATTCATATAGTCTTTTAAATTTGAAAATATATTAAAGGAGTGGCCCAGATGGAGCTGATAATATCAATATCTAGCAAGTACTGTTATTTATAAATTACAGGTGCTATGCTGAAGTTTGTCAGTAGATGCTGGATCATCAGCCAGACCTCTTTAGCAGGTCCTACAGACCCAGGTGAAATACAGGTAGCCTCAGCCAGTAGCCTATAGCACAACCACAGATGTACAGCCAGCATCAGGTACAAGCAGCTCAGACCCTAATGGAGCAGCAGATTGGCCCCAGTCTTAAGAGACTTTATGAGGACAGCGTTAGTGCGCAGAGGTCCGTTCAAACCAGCACTGGATTTTTCTAGAAGAGCTTTCTATTCAGACATATTTCAGAAACACACACTGTTTTAAAGGTGGGAGGATTGCAGTGAGAGTACTGCTGTGTCAGGTGTCACTGTGCAGCAAAGGCAAATAGCAGAATTTTTCTTGGGTCCCAGGGAGGTCAGGACCGGCTCTGGTGGTGACGTAGGTATGTGTGCTTATGACAGGTTCAAAGCCCTTTCTGACATGGCAGTGCCAATAATAATGGGATACGCAAAGGAAGCTGGTAAAGCAAATACTAACACATTTCACATTACAGTTTCAAAAGTATATGGGGGCCTGTGCCCCAGTAGGCTTTATGTCTAGCAACACGAGACTTTCCAGAGGAGCACAGCAGCTCCAAACAGCAACAATCACAGCTAACACCACAACAACAGCGTGTCTTGGTGAACTAGAAAGGAAGCTGAATGTCTGTGGGCAAGTAATTAAACGTTACTGACACACAACATGGCTGAAACGGTGTCTTTGTTAGTTTGTCATTTCCAGAGCCAGGGCGAGTACAACAAGCAGACCGTGAGGAGAAAAAAGTTGGATTAGATTTAGGTTAAGATTTGTAAGAATTGATATCCCATTGTTACATAACTAAGACAAAAAAATAGTTCTTTGCTGTCTTATGTAAGGTGAGTCATGAATGTTTCCTCATAACTTCAGTTAGTTTGACTGGTTTGATGGCACAGATCCAGTCAGTTCCACAGAAATCAGAGTTGATTTGGTGTCGTGTTACCGTGAGTGGTGTGACGTCACCTCAACTAAAATGTTAATGGAGCAGAAAATAACATACAATCCTTATGTCTTCTGTTAAAAAAGTCCACAACCAACTACAAAATAGGCTTTATGGAAGACAGCCACAGCTGTAGCCTATTTTTTTGGAATTTATGCTGTTTTTTTTCTGCAAATCCAGAGTTTTCTTATTTAGTTGAAAATGAACCTCACAGAGCAGAAACAGACTCACCATCAAGCTGCGGAGGTGAGGAGATAAAAACAGACAGACTGCAGAGACAGTTACTGACAGGAAGGACATAAACACGACGCAGCATCAGGGTCCAGTTACGTGGGACCCAGTGGGAGCTCTGCTCCTTAAGGAGGGTCTGAGCTCCCTTGGAAGCAGTAAAATCATGCATCTGTGGGGGTCACTAATTCATTTATCCACAACCATTATTACTACTGTGCAGCGCTTGACTGACGTGCTGATGGCTGCACAGTCAGGCTCCACCATCAGCCACTATGGTGCACACGGTTTAGACCTAACAGGTCATTTCCTACATTTTGGTGAAAGTTTCTGCACCAATTAATGGTGGAAATCTTTATGTAAAAAGAAACACAAAATTCAGGTAGCACCTGTCATTTCAAAATATATACAAAAATATAAACAAAATATAAACTTAATAGAATCTAAGTCAGTGCAGTTTTCAGGCTTTCAGTTCTGTTTCCCCTGTAGATCAACTTTTCTCATGTAAAATCATCCCTGTTGAGGAAGCACATGTAGGCATGATTTAGTCTTCCCTCCTCTTTTGTCATGTTCACAGGGAGAGAACAGAAAACTTGGCCAAAAAGAAAATTTATTTGAACAATACCCTAGGGGCTAATAGTAGACTGATGTGTGCGTTTTTGTGTGCGTGAGAGAGGGAAATGTTGAATCACGTAATAAGCAATGATTTCTCTCTTTCTCTCTCTCTCGTTATTATTTATTTATTCATCCCAGCCGGCAACGTTAGTTAGTATATTACAGACCCCCACGAAGCTCAGATTAACTCGAACCCTGCGCAGCATTAGTAACATCTATAGGACCTGAAACCCGACAGATTGAAAATGCAATGAGCAATCTGCAAGAGAGATTTGGAACATAGTTTCATATAAACTATATCTATAGATCGAAGAGCCACAGGAGTTTTCTATTCTCTATCATTCAAATCAAACATTCATCTGCACCATATCGGACTTACTTAGCTTGCTCCTGTGAATGTCTGTGAGATCAGCAGGCAGTGTCTTGTCCAGGTATGTGTGGAAAAAAACAGGAGGCTCATTTATATTTTAAAGGGACTTCAGTAAAGACTCCACCCATAATTTACCGCGTCTGCAGGCTGCAGTCTCAACATCACACTTCTTCATCCAAGGATGCAGTGTCGTGTATTTATGTGGTGGATTTTCCCTCATGGAAATATAAAATCAGAAAATTGCCATCGAGATTGAATAAAAGTTTTACAATAATTTCTTTACAGGACGATACAAAATAAGTATGGATTACAAGCTTAATAATCAGTAAAATGTTCAACATAACAAGTTTGGTATGGAAAATATAACTGAAACCAAACTCCAACAGATATCAATTTAATATTTCCTTTAAGATTTTGCTTCTGGTGCAAGGTGGATTATAATGTAACCTATTTCCCATATTACCTTAGTTCATGGCGGACCTACAGGATCTCTCTCTGACAGCTCAAGAGAAGATCCTGCTTTCTCTCCTTCCTTTATTTTTTATACCCAAGTCAAAGCACACAGGCTCCGGTTTACCAGCGTCACTCTTATGGCTCAAATTCAATTTTCCCAACAATTGTCTAAACAGTGATAAAATCAAGTCTTTATATAATGGTGCTTTTGTACTGGCTACAAGCCTGGACATTCCCAACCAATTTCCTGGAATTCTCTTTTGTCCAGCCTTTGTCCAAAAATTAGACTTGAATTTTTGTTATATAAACAACTAAAAGTTAATTTCAGGCAAGAGTGTCTAGGCATGAATGTACACACTTTTTGTCTGACCAAAAGTGGAGTGTTACAGAAATCATAAACTGGTTATACTATATTCAAAGCTTACTAAATGTACACTAATATTTTAGCTGGCTTAATTCCAACATAAATCCCAACTTTTTTCAGGATCCTCCCACAATTAAATTAATAGCTTACTTCAATCTTTACTGTAAACATTTGCTTTTTAACTAACTCTTAAACCAAAAGGTAAATTTCAAGAATGGTTATTTTTGTTCTTTTCTCCACTACATGACTAAATGAATTATCTAGTAAGCTCACTTTCAGAACACTTGAAACATTTGCAGTATTCAACAAAATGCACATGTATTCACTGAAACTCAGGGGACCACGACTTCCCTTACTAAACTGGCAGTGTTTCAAAAACCCTTTAATACTTGTTGAGGGGAAAAATCCACATGCCAGCTCACATCTTAACTTCCTAAACATTTCGAACATACACTGCTCCAAAAAATAAACGGAACACTAAAATAACACATCCTAGATCTGAATGAATGAAATAATCTCATTAAATACTCCTTTCTTTACATAGCTGAATGTGCTGACAACAAAATCACACAAAAATTATCAATGGAAATCAAATTTATCAACCCATGGAGGTCTGGATTTGGAGTCACACTCAAAATCAAAGTGGAAAACCAAACTACAGGCCGATCCAACTTTGATGTAATGTCCTTAAAACAAGTCAAAATGAGGCTCAGTAGTGTGTGTGGCCTCCACGTGCCTGTATGACCTCCCTACGACTGGGCTCCTGATGAGGTGGCGGATGGTCTCCTGAGGGATCTCCTCCCAGACCTGGACTAAAGCATCCGCCAACTCCTGAACAGTCTGTGGTGCAACGTGGCGTTGGTGGATGGAGCGAGACATGATGTCCCAGATGTGCTCAGTTGGAATCAAGCCTGGGGAACGGGCGGGCCGGTCCATAGCATCAATGCTGACACACTCCGGCCACATGAGGTCTAGCACTGTGTTGCATTAGGAGGAACCCAGGGCCAACCGCACCAGCATATGGTCTCACAAGGGGTCTGAGGATCTCATCTCGGTACCTAATGGCAGTCAGGCTACTTCTGGCGAGCACATGGAGGGCTGTGTGGCCCCCCAGAGAAATGCCACCCCACACCATCACTGACCCACCGCCAAACCGGTCATGCTGGAGGATGTTGCAGGCAGCAGAACGTTCTCCACGGCATCTCCAGACTCTGTCACGTCTGTCACATGTGCTCAGTGTGAACCTGCTTTCATCTGTGAAGAGCACAGGGCGCCAGTGGCGAATTTGCCAATCTTGGTGTTCTCTGGCAAACGTCCTGCACGGTGTTGGGCTGTAAGCACGACCCCCACCTGTGGACGTCGGGCCCTCGTACCACCCTCATGGAGTCTGTTTCTGACCGTTTGAGCAGACACATGCACATTTTGCAGGGCTCTGGCAGTGCTCCTCCTGCTCCTCCTTGCACAAAGGCGGAGGTAGCGGTCCTGCTGCTGGGTTGTTGCCCTCCTACGTCCTCCTCCACGTCTCCTGATGTACTGGCCTGTCTCCTGGTAGCGCCTCCGTGCTCTGGACGCTACGCTGACAGACACAGCAAACCTTCTTGCCACAGCTCGCATTGATGTGCCATCCTGGATGAGCTGCACTACCTGAGCCACTTGTGTGGGTTGTAGACTCCGTCTCATGCTACCACTAGAGTGGAAGCACCGCCAGCATTCAAAAGTGACCAAAACATCAGCCAGGAAGCATAGGAACTGAGAAGTGGTCTGTGGTCACCACCTGCAGAATCACTCCTATATTGGGGGGGGGTCTTGCTAATTGCCTATAATTTCCACCTGTTGTCTATTTTGTTAAATGCATATATTATAGCATTTTTCCGCCATGGGTACGAGCCCGGCTCTCAGGCCGCAACAAAGAAGGAGGATGCAACTCAGGTTTAACAAAGATTAACATAAATTTATTTAAACTAATCCGAAAGAAGAGAACAGAGGCAGAGCAATGTGGAGGCACAAGCACCAACACTGGCGTCTGGGCGGGCGGGCCTAAATAGGTTGGGCTCACCGGCCAGGTGCTCCCAATCTCCTTAATTGCCTGCAGGGAGAAACACACAGACAGTATACAGTACAGAGGCCCAACACCAAGACCTCTCGGGGCTGTCACACGTACCCAGAAGCTACCCAGTTCACACTCTTGGTTACTCAGGTTTGTTAGTCTCACCTTGACTAGTTTGTTAAATTCACCTTGTTAGTAATCGTGCATATATTTGTTGATAAGTAGCAGATTCATTCTCATTTACACCTTCAACATCCAAACATCATTTTCTCGTTACTTAATATGAATTATTCTTTAAAATTAATCTCACTTGTATTGTCCTATAATTAGGGTTCATACCACGTAGCAGTAGAACCCTTCTATGTTTGAGTGTTTTAGTTATTATTATTATTATTATTTTTGTTGTCTGCCGCGCCGGCTCAAATTCCCGTGAGCTGGAATGAGCTAGAAACATGAAACTTAGCAGCAAATAACTGGAAATGGTGTGCATCAGCTTCCATAGAAATATGAACCCAATCGGCCACATGGTGGCCTAATTAAGGCTTAAAAATGCAAACTTTGAAAGGCCACGCCCCTTACACTGTAAGTCTGATTGACTTGAAATTTCTCACACAGGTGCAGCTCAATGTGCTCTACAAAAAAGCCTCAATGACTATTAAGGTCCGCCTATAAAACTTTTCCGCCATTTTGAATTTTTTGAAAATCACATTTTTGACATCTCCTCCTAGACCGTAGCTCCAATTGCCACCAAATTTTCAGTGAATCATCATTGGATCAAGCCTATTAAAAGTAGTATAAAGCATGTCGATATCTGAATTACTTTTCAAGATATGGACCAATGACCTTTGTAAGGGGTGTGGCTCTGGACATAGATATACCTGAACAGTTTGATGTACATACGTGCCTAGGGGCGCTACAAGCGCAAGAAAGGTGCTTAGCATTACACAAATTACACTATAAATCCCATAGTCATTCTCCAATCATCACAAATCTCTCTGAAAGTTTCATTCAAATCGAACACCCGGGGGCGCTATAAATGCAAACAAACTGCAGGGGGTAAAACACAAATCAGGCTACAAAATACAAATTGTTTGTCCAATCAACACAAAACTTGCAGGATATGTCTAGATAAGGACCTCACACATACACTGCAAGTCTCATTCAAATTGACCTCTAGGAGGCGCTACAAATGCACAAAAGGAAGCTATTGATCATAAAATGTTTATCCTATCCAGTGGTGCTACCAGGGAGGGCCACGGCCACCCTAATAAAATTGGTGGCTACCCCAGTGGACCCCCCCGGTGAGGAGTATATGCATAAAATACTGTACATAGGGGCCAGACGGTGTGTCTCTATCTTGAAAATCTCTTTCAACAGTTCACCGGAGCTGTGTGAAGTTCCCTCCTGCTTTAAACGCTCCACAATCATCCCGGTCCCCAAAAAACCCTCCATCTCTGGATAAAATGACTACAGGCCTGTCGACATGACATCTGTAGTCATGATGTCCATTGAAAGACTGGTGTTGGCCCACCTGAAGGACATTACAGGCCCCTTGCTTGACCCCCTGCAGTTTGCCTACAGGGCTAACAGGTCAGTGGATGATGCTGTCAACCTGGGTCTGCATTACATCCTGCAACACCTCGACACATGATTCTGTTCGTAGACTTGAGCTCGGCGTTCAACACCATCATCTCAGAAATCCTCAGCACCAAACTCACTCAGCTCACTGTGCAGCTCACATCCACCTCCAACATGTACATAATAATGGTAATAATAATTTACTCCTGCATCCTTTGCACTCTGCTCATTGCACTATTGTCTCAGTCTTTCTTTATTGTTGTTGTTTATAGTGTGTATATATGTGTTCTCTACACTGTAGCCTGCGTTTGATTTTATTATTGTATTAATGTATAAGTAAGTGCATGGTGAGCAATGTACAATCAAGAGTCAAATTCCTTGTACACACATACCTGGCAAATAAAGCTCTGATATTATGTAACTTCTGTGTTAAAAAGTTTAAATGTCTTAGCAGCATGTAGGTGTTGTCATATTAGGCTCCGTCACTTTAAGAGGGTAACCTCTGACCCTGAACTGTGACCGACTATGGTTGTTTTTTTAAGAGAGGCCTCCGATTCGTTCATGTAGATGCCTGTCACCTTTCTAAACTTGTGATTGGTTAAGGGGCGGGCCTAACAGCCAGAGCAGAGTTACGAGTCAGCCTGCTGCTTCCAGACTGTTTTTTTCTCTGGAGGTAACTTAGCCACAAGCTGCAGCAGACAGAAAGCTGTAATTTAATAATCATACAGACAGTCAGTAGCCTGGCTGGTTTATAATAAGTTTGTCACTCTGCTACACAGTTTTGTGTGAGAGCCGTGCTAGTCTGCAGATAGCAACAGGTTAGCAACATCGCTAACAGCAAGCTAACGTAAACGGACACTGTCAGCGCCGCGCGTGAGCTGATAAGCACCTCTGGCTTTGAGGGAGACCGTCCTGTACCTGTCTTCATCTTCATCTTTCTGAGAGGATTGCAAAACATGACACCAGCGGGAGTTATCTGGACGATGCTGTGAATCTGAGCTTACTTTAAAGGGTTAAACATCGCTGCCCAACAAACAGGCGGAGGAAACAGCTATGAGCTCAGTGACGGTCGGATCGTAACGTTTATTAAACTCTGTGGAAAATGTTAAACAGCACTGCGGGGCCGCAACGACTCTGCGGGCTCTCTGAAAAACTTCAGTCCTCCAGAAGTTTGCCCAGAGGAAAAGCCGCCGCTGCGCCTTTCTGCTGAAGTGAGCCTGCTTTGGTGAGTGAAGCATCGTTAATCATCCTGACTGTGTGCTGCTGCTCCGTGTATGGGACAAACTGTTGTGCTGGATCTGTTGATACCAGGCTATGGATTGTTGTTGTCATGTAGCCGCTTCATGCTGCTTTATTATCTGCGGTTATTACGCCAATATGGCGGCTGGCTGCGCTGGATGAAAGGTACAGAGCCAGGAGTGTAAATGATCTCTCTCTCTCTCTCTCTCTCTCTCTCTCTCTCTCTCTCTCTCTCTCTCTCTCTCTCTCTCTCTCTCTCTCTCTCTCTCTCTCTCTCTCTCGCTCAAATTCAAACTTAAATTAGCTTTATTGGCATGAATGTAATAATAATAATATAATAATAATCCTTATTTGTAGAGCACTTTTCAAAAATAAGTTACAAAGTGCTTTAACAAGTGTAAAGAATAATACAAAAAAAATAAGAGCATGAAAATTTAATATAAAATTAGTAAAATAGAATAAAATAAAAGGGATAAAATAAAGTCAAATAAGATCGGGAAAGGCTCTCCTATAAAAGTATGTTTTAAGAAGGGACTTAAAAGAGTTCACTGACTCAGCCGACCTGATTTCCTCGGGCAGGCTGTTCCAGAGCCTCGGGGCCCTGACAGCAAACGCTCTGTCCCCTTTAGTTTTCAGTCGAGACTCTGGAACAGACAACAGACCTCTGCCCGAGGATCTCAAGGTACGTGCTGGTGCGTATGGGACTAAAAGGTCAGAAA